TTAAAAAAAAACAACAAATAAACAAAGGGGTATTTTAGTGGAAGTACACCTACCAGAGGTGCCTTTATTAAAGATTTTAATCAAATGTTCATAGACATCTGTTATCAAAGTTTATCAAAACTAGCAATCTCAAAATATATTACCTCTAAAAATCTATTCCTCAACTATTGATGAAAGGCAGAAAAAAAAATTGGGCAGGCTTGAAAAATCCATTTTACAGCAGACTGTTTCAACTGACTAATTATTTGAACAGTGGCTAGGATTCATGGCAGCTAACAGTTAGTTCAAAAAACGCGCTTTTCTGTGATACAAACAGGAAAAACACTGCTGCTGTAGTACTTAGTGCCAATTGTGGCCACGAGTTATATTTCCTCCATTTCTAAACTGATGTTAAAGTAATATTAGGAGAAAACATCAAGACACTGGATAAGCTATATTTAGATGTTGCATTCACTATTGTAATCTGTAAAGGACTGACTGTAGTTCTCAAAGAATTGACTGTTTCCAAAAATTAAATCTTCAGTATTTCGTGGAGCATATTCCATGCTAGGCCAGCTATTATAGAAGTGAAAGGTTAGCGTGGTATTAAATGAATATCAGAATGATCAGTGAGTGTAGTTCAGACAGTAAAAAGTTACAAGCGTGATTAAAGCAAAAATAAAAAAAATACTGTGTTTAATTATTTCAACCATTCTGAAACTTTTAGCCTAAACTTACTGTTGATTTTGGTGGCAGAACAAGCTTTCGTGGCCCTTCTTTCCGTTGCTAAGAGGGAAAGGGATAAGTAATTTGTAATCATAATTAGTTTTATTGATATATATATATATATTAATTGTGAAATACATTTAAAAAAGATCTAACCTAAACACCTGCAGTGAAATTTAATGTATTTTAATATCACTGAATCTAAATCGCAGTTTTTATCACACTACATTTTATGTACAGATTACTGATACGGTTATAATAATTCAAGGTTTAGAACCATTATTTTCAAACCTTCTCCTAAACTTAAGTTATTTTGTTGGATACGTTATTAGTAGAGCGTGTATGACCAAATCTTGTCAGTTTTGTGTTTGTACTACATTTTTTATCAATACAATTCGTTTCGTTCTACAAACTATACGAGAAAAGCCAAAGTTTTGAAGATTACTTACAAACTCTCTTAAATGCTTCTCTCTCTGACACAGGGCAGCATATTGTTTCCTGCCTGAAGGGGTGCTTTGAAGAGTTGCTATTATCTCAAGTTTCGTATCAGGGTTTTCTACCATGTCCATTTCTACTATTGTGGACAAAGCTTTTTGACAAGTTTCGTCTTCTCGCAGGGCTCTGAGCATGCAGGACTCTAAGTGTTTGTTTAAAATGTGAATAAATCGCTTTCTTCGACAACAACACCCAAGCAACCGTTTTAGCTAAAAAAATATAACACGACAATCTTAAGAATGTTTATAAAGAAAACAATTACTATTTCGAATGAGTTTATTGTTATCATCGATTATATTAGAAATTAATTGCAAATTCACAAGAAATAATATATTACCGACAAGTGATGACATTTGAAAATAAATATCCCTTCAAATCACAGCTACATAAATATAACATTTATTACACGATATGTCAAGAAATATTCATAAGAACTACTGATTATTCTCGATATATTTTTCAGCCCCAAAGTTTTTTAAACATCCATTTGATGCATACTCGGTACAGATTTTTTTAAAGTTCGTGTAAACTAATCAATATTGTTTGCACGTGATATATATATATATATACATATATATATATATACGCTAAAGTTATGCGCGAAGTTCACTTACTACATACAAGAGCAAACATACAACTTGATATAGTCCAAAAACTACCAAGTTGTATGGAGCCCGGTATGGCCAGGTGGTTAGGGTACTCGACTCGCAATTTGAGGGTCGCGGGTTCGAATCCCCGTCCCACCAAACATGCTCGCCCTTTCAGCCGTGGGGCCGTTATAATGTGACGGTCAATCCCACTATTAAATGCAATCATTAGAATCAGGAACGTCGAGAGCTAGCACGGGCCCCCTCTCTCTCTCTTTTTTTAACATTTTCAAGAATTTATTAAAAAGAATATCCTAAATTAGGACAGCAACGAGCTCATAAACCAGACAAAATCATAGCAGCAGCCGTTTTTACCTCACATTATAAGCGTAAAAACGTTAATAAAGTTACAACAAATATATATATCAAATTTATAAAGTAACAAATACATATTAATTATTAATCAAATTATTATTTCAGTCGTTCTTAACGTATCAAGCGTCTATATGCAAAGAAAAGATAAAAACTATGGTTTTTATAATTAAATGAAGATATAGCCTATTTTTCGGTGTATAAGACGCACTTTTTTACCCCAAAATTTGATGTCTAAATCTGCTTGCGTCCTATAAACCGAAG